CTTGTGTAAAAATAATCCAATTATAACTTGGTCTTTATATTTTCTCTCTCATAAACTTACAATTCTAGCTCCGTTTCTGATTACAGAGATTTTTCGAAAATCCTTTAAGGGAATAAGATAGAGACATGAGTGATCAAGTACATGAATAATGGTATTGTGATCACTAGTCCCGAACCTGGCTATTACCATCCGTAACTATTTGGGGTCAATGGCTATGATCAACAACAATGGCTATGTGCCAACGTTTGATTTGGAAAACCCACCTCGGCTGCCTTTCCATTAACGTAATAACAAAAGAATATGTTACGAAATTGAGTCAATTGTTGAAAATTCATCAAGATAGGTAGATCTTATCTATGCCACCAATTAATAAGGAATCACATGCAGTTGAGTTATCAAGGTTCCCGATTGATTTGTAATTTTTAGAAGAAAAAAGAAAAGAAAAGTTAGAAAAAGAAGAATAAGGTCGTGAATCTTGTTGGTAGGTAATCTCTTTGAAAAGTTGAAAAGTTGAAAGTGGAAATTATAAAATGTTCACAAGCGGCTAAGCCTTAATAATGGTCATGAGGGAGACTATTTGTGGCGCTCTCTTGTCCTGTGACACACATAAATTAAAGGAGGCCGTGACAGTGAGGTGAAACTGTGACAACCAAATTAATCCCACAGGCTCCTCTCTCTCTCTCTCACGGCAACTCTGGCTGGCCCATCACAGATATATAGACATAACTGAACCACGTAGCCAAATCTCTTATAAAATTGCAAGATCCTTTCCTCCAATCTCTAAAAAAAGGTGGGGTTTGGTGCAGTTTCTGTTGGCCTTTGTCTTAGATAAATTTGTACTGTTTCTAACCTTGATGATTATTGTTATCTAACTTGTCTCTATTGTCTGTTTTATCAGTCTTCAAGCAATTAATTTATCTACAGTCCGTAATTTCATGCATTTTAACATTGTTTCAGGTGTAGGACCAAAGCTGTCCTAGTTTCCACTAGGGTAATTTGTCCTTGCCTCAATTTAGCTCCACCCCCGGGCCTAGGGTTTTCCATTAGTTGTACTCGTCGTCCTCCTCTTCATCATATACTATATATTCTGTATGTATGGAGAAGGAAGAGAACAACTACTCGGTACAAAATTCAGTTTTCTCTCCATCTCACACTGCTCATCTCACTTCCCTTTTACTTTTTGTTTATTTTCTTTTGACAAATATCGTCATCAATCACCATGTTGTTCTTTTGCTCTGATTATGAAATATTGCAGGCTTTTATGCCGCCTGGTAACTTTAACAACCTAGATTACACCCTAGATAATCATCATGATGAAGATCAGCAGATGATGAAGTCTCGCGTCGACGAGACTCCAAGTGAGAACAACAATGGAATGGTCAATTACTTGATGAACAATCACCATCAACTACAACAACAGCAACAACAAATGAGCACACAACTAGCTCCAGCTGGGTTTTGTGGTTCAACAAGTACTTCTTTTGATAAGCTGAGCTTCGCCGATGTGATGCAGTTTGCGGATTTTGGACCCAAGTTGGGCTTAAACCAAACCAAGATTTCAGAAGAAGAACCCTCCGGGGTTGACCCTGTTTACTTCCTCAAGTTTCCGGTGTTGAACGACAAGTTCGACAATGATGTCATGGTTCCACAAGCTGAAGAGAGATTTACAGGGTTGGGTGAAGAAGGCAAGACAAAATCAATGGAAGAAGATCAAGATGAGGAGGGTCGGGTTTCGGGTAGTAATTCGGTGCAGCAGCTCCAATTTCTTGGAGAAGATCTTGAAAACAACCCTAGAGGAGGAGTAGAACCGGAGCCTGCAGCCAAGAACAAAAGAAAAAGACCAAGAACTACCAAGACCACTCAAGAAGTCGAAAGCCAGCGGATGACTCACATCGCCGTGGAAAGAAACCGCAGGAAGCAAATGAATGAGCATCTTCGTGTGCTCCGTTCTCTCATGCCTGGCTCATATGTACAACGAGTATGTATATATTGTTTAACCATTTTCTTTCAATTCAACAACTTTCGTCCATGAGATTTGAACTCACGACCTCCTTCACCACTGAAATATTTTTTAATTGAATGTATGCAGGGGGATCAAGCTTCTATCATTGGAGGAGCCATAGAGTTTGTGAGAGAATTAGAGCAGTTGCTTCAGTGCTTGGAATCACAAAAGCGGAGAAGGCTCTTAGGCGAAGCTCCAAGACATGAGGTGGGAGAATCTGCCGGAGCGATGGCTATGGCGGTGATGCCTGCAGTGCAGGCAGCTCAAGGCGGCAGCGGGGGACCATTAATCTTTCCGGCTGCTAATCTCCCCGTGAATCCAAATGATCCTATCAAGTTCGTGGACTTCGAAACGGGGCTTCGAGAAGAATCGGCTGAGAACAAGTCGTGCTTTGCTGATGTTGAGGTGAAGGTTTTAGGGTTTGATGCGATGATCAAGATTTTGTCTCAAAGGAGACCAGGGCAGCTCATTAAGGCCATTGCTGCGCTTGAGGATTTGCAGCTTAACATTCTTCACACTAACATCACCACCATCGAACAAACTGTTCTATATTCCTTTAATGTCAAGGTACGTACGGTATATATATAGTTGAGATTATAAAACATTTTAGCATATGCAATTAATTAATCTGGGTTATATATATATGTAAATGATGGGCAGGTTGAGAGTGAATCGAGGTTCACGGCTGAAGATATAGCAACCTCAGTTCAGCAGATATTCAGTTTTATTCATGCAAACACCGCCAGCATATGATGATGATGGTGGAACTTGAATCTTATGACCACAGCTTTTTCTTTTGGATTCTGATCTATTTATATTTATTGTTTATGAAAAACAGAAAAAGAAATTAATGAGCTAGTAGTGTGGTCTCTGGTATAACAGCAGTTGAACCTGCAGATTTATCCTTGAAGACTAGCTAGATTCCTTTGTCCTAAATAAGTAACATTACATGTATTTCTTCTTCCAGATTGTTATTAAAGGCATGTAGTGGTTCTGAAATCTCTTCAAATTCTCATCATTGAACAAATTAATTCTTATATATAGTGGTCATCTCTCTTCAAAATCGATGAAAGTTGTTCGTATACGAATGCCTTTTCAGTTTCTTGTTTGAATGTCTAGTTTATAGAAGTAGAACAACTTAGCTATTAATTGTTGAAGATTGTAAAAATACCACATTAGAAACCCAAGAAAATAAGGTAAAAAATATCCAAGTGTGTGGTTTCATTACCTAACAAATGAAACTACATATTTACTAAGATATTTGTGGTTAAGTTGTTGAAAGTATTGATGTTAGTATTATAGTGGATCACTCGTCTGTCTTTTCGAAATCTTAACATCATATATGTAACGTCCTACAAAAGATGTGATTAATTGATAATTACATAGTAGTGTCAAATATCTTTCCCCATATGTATATTTAAAATAGATACTGATGAAGCTGCTCACCCCCACATGGACTCTCTCTGTTTCTATCTTGTGGGGAAGGAGAATAGTATCTGTTATGGCAGTAGAGGGAGTGTGGAGACAACTTCTGTCATACATGTTGTTGACTTTGATTGAATTAAAATAATTTTGGTGATGTACATGAGTTAGAAGGTCAACGGGTCGTTGTTGCCGTGGGTCGTTGACTTGCCAGAAATAACTCACATAGTAGTGTCAAATATCTTTCCCCATATGTATATTTAAAATAGATACTGATGAAGCTGCTCACCCCCCACATGCTCTCTCTCTGTTTCTATCTTGTGGGGAAGGAGAATAGTATCTGTTATGGCAGCAGAGGGAGTGTGGAGACAACTTCTGTCATACATGTTGTTGACTTTGATTGAATGAAAATAATTTTGGTGATACATGAGTTAGAAGGTCAACGGGTCGTTGACTTGCCAGAAATAACTCTTTTTGGTTTTATTCGACTGCCCTGAGACGTTGCCATTCTCAGAGGGTCCCTTAAGCATTTGGATTTAATTGTGAAGGTTCATCCATCACCACCTCATATTTGTTGTGTGTATCATTCAATCATGCTTGCTTGGTCGCATTTGTCTTAAAAGAGTTGACCCATGTGGCTTCAATTGGCTTTTTTCTCTTCCTTCCACTATCTTACAGCTTGAAATTTCAAACTTATCACTGAAAACGATTGGGAGACCCTTTTTCATCAATTAACTAAGGCGATTGTACTTGTGCAGATATAATGTATATATAATAGTTCCAATCAAAAGTCAATGGATATGATATATTATTATTTTTGGGTCCAAATAATGGGTAAAGATTTTGGCACGACATAACACTATTATTGCTCACTTTCGAAGAAGGGTTACTAAATTTAATTTTGTTACCACCCATTGTTAAATAAGTTTGTAACTTGCAGTCATGTGCTTAGCCAAGTTGACTAGAGCGGATGTGCTTCTAACTCTGCACCCAAGTTCGAATCTTCCTCTCCATAATTTAAATTAGATTAAAATAGAATATCATTTGTATATATATGAAAAAAGTTTATTACCAAGAATTACAAAAAAAAAGTCCAGGGCTCCATCTTTTCTTTCTCTTCGAACGCATTTGGTGGCTAGGGTTTCAGACAAAGCCGGTCCGACTCCGCCATCTTCTTCGTCTCGATGAGCACTTCCTCCTTCTGGTAACATTTTTTCTCATGGGGTATGTTAGAAGTATTCCGTTTATAAAAAATAAAAAAAAAAGTGTGGTATCCTAGCTACCTTCGGTATGGGCCTATTTCTAAAAGAATAACGTTAGCTCCTCACTTTGGACCTTGGCTTAGAGCGCGGCTTAGAGACATTTGTAATGGGCCCTATGGGCTAATTGTTTTGTTTTTCTTTAAACCCACGAAAGAAAATTAACCCTCCCAGCCCATATATTTTGTTTGGGCCTTTGACCTGGCATACCTGTGGGCTACGTGGCTACCATCTAAGCCCAGATGCCACACAACCCATCAATCCCCACCACATACAAAGCTACACCAGCCAGCAGCCAACCAAACCCTCATACGCCTTCTTTATAAACCACGGCATTCCAAAACCCTAACTCTTACGCACCCATTTCTCTCACTTCACAGCCGCTTAGGGTTAGAGAGCTTGAAAACAATGGTGTCTGGCTCAGGAATCTGCGCTAAGCGCGTCGTTGTGGACGCCCGCCACCACATGCTGGGTCGCCTGGCGTCGATACTCGCCAAAGAGCTTCTCAATGGGCAGAAGGTCGTGGTGGTTCGATGCGAGGAGATCTGCATCTCCGGTGGGCTCGTCAGGCAGAAGATGAAGTACATGAGGTTCTTGCGCAAGCGCATGAACACCAAGCCCTCTCATGGTCCCATTCACTTCCGTGCCCCAGCTAAGATCCTCTGGCGCACCATCCGTGGGTACGTCGTTTTTTCTCTCTCACTCTCTTTGTTTGCTGATTTCTAGATTTATGTACGTTTTCTTGAGTTTGAGCTAGGGTTTTCTGGGGCTGTTGGATTTTGTTTCATTTTCTTAGTAACCGAACAGAATGCCTGGTGCCCATTATTTAGTTTAATCTGTAAACTGGACGAGATTGATTCTATTAATTTGTGTTTTTTATTCTAATATGTTGATTGTCGGAATAGAATAGGAGTTGAAAAGTCTTGGACTTGTTTATTTTTCTGGTAAATTTGCTGATTTTGAAGAAAATGATCTCCGACTCATTATATGTTATAGACCTATTTTGTTATTTTACGTTTATTTTATTGATTCAATAGGTGATCTATGTTTTTAGTTGGAATGGTAGTTGCGTTTTCTGCTTTATTTCACTCAATAGGGGATTTCTTTGTATAAGTTATTTTACAGTAATTTTGTACTTGTGTCTTTGGTTTTGCAGAATGATTCCGCACAAGACCAAGCGTGGTGCCGCCGCACTTGCCCGTTTGAAGGCATACGAGGGTGTACCACCTCCTTATGATAAGATAAAGAGGATGGTCATTCCTGATGCTCTCAAGTGAGCTTTTCACACTAGCTTGTTGATTTTGATTTACTAGTTTTGTTATTTTTGTTTGGTTCTGTTTCCGTGAACTGAAAGGTTATTGTTTTTGGATTATCAGGGTCTTGAGGCTTCAAGCAGGACACAAGTACTGTTTGTTGGGCAAGCTTTCATCTGAGGTTGGATGGAATCACTATGAGACCATCAAGGTGAGAATCACATGCTTTTCTTGTTTGCTCTTACTGAGTTTTTTGTGTCCTTGTGTTTTAGTAAAGCATATTATTTTCTCTTTTTAGTTCAGAGTAGTACACTCATTTTATGGTTGTATTCAATTGGATCAAGTTGCATCGGATTTTAGTTTCCATAATGTGGTTGTTTACATTTATAGGGGTGTTCTCGCACTTAAATGCATATTGAATTTAGTGGTTGTGATGGCATGTTTTGAACAATGCTTCATCCAGCGTGTTGTAGTGGTGGAGTTGATTATTTTTATTTGCTAAAGCCGGTTGGATCCTTTTGTTTGCTTTCCTAATCAAGACTTATTTCTGTGTGTACCTACCTGGCTTTAAATGGTGTCTAACTCTGTATGTTAGCACATTAGTCTTTTACGGTAGATTGGGTATACGTTTGTATGTCAGTGTCTAGAACTTTTGGAGCTTGTATTAGTGCATCCCCTGTAAGTGCGTAAATGCCTGGAATTCTTCATAGTTTGGCACAAATGACTAACAGCTAAGTACGCCATTCCAGGTTAGGGTTATGTTCTTAAAAATCATCACATTAGTTTGCTTTGTACTTTTACCTAAAAGTACTTACACTCATTGGCTCGTTAACATTGAGTTACATCGACGGCAATTCATATGTGCCCTCGTGTCAATCAATTTACAACTTTGCTTACCGACATCTATATTTAATTTTGTTGTGCGTTTTGAGCTTGAGGCAGGTGGATTCTATTTGCTTCTTCTTGGAATGAGTTTGTTGCCATTGATTCATGTACTTACAAATAGTCACTAATGAATTTATCTGTGGCTGTGCAGGAGCTTGAGAACAAGAGGAAGGAGAGGGCCCAGCTTGCATATGAGAGGAAGAAACAGTTGAACAAGCTGAGGGTGAAGGCCGAAAAGGTTGCTGAGGAGAAACTAGGTCCTCAGCTAGAGATCATTGCTCCTATTAAATATTGATTAGTAGAGATTTGCCTTTTAAGATGAAAATGTTGTTGAGGATTGACTTAAGAATTAAATTTTGTTTTGTGTTTATTAAGATACTTGGTTGTTCCTTGTGATGGTTTTAAGTATTTTGGCAGTAGTTCTTTCTGATAGATAGTCGTACACTTGTATGCTGTTTGGTATTTACGAATTAGCTAAATCACTGTTTTCTCAATTCAGTTCGATTGCTTTTTCTAGATGATGAGTTCATTTTGAGGAATGATTCTACTCTATTTTTGCCCCTGACCCCTATCAGGTGAGAACCAAAATACAAAGAGGTTCTCTAGGAAGAACAAATTGCCCATAAGCGTAGCAAATTGATTAAGAGATGTGAAAAGCTAGAAAAAAAGAAAGGGTGGCAATAGCGCCACTCCAAAGCCGAGTTAGATTGGCCAAGGCTTTTGGTGTGCTCCATAGTACCCCCTAACTTTGGAAAAAGAAAATAAAAAGAAATAGCGCCACTCCAAATGAGTTCTATGTTGATTGTGCCGACTCTCATTAGTTGATAGCTTTAAAATGCAATAGTTCATTCCTCAAATGTAAAAAATATTAATTGATTGATTAGTCTTAAAATCAATTAACAGGACAATAATCTCTCTCTCTATAAACATTGTTGTGGTTGTTTGGGAAACTTTGGTTTAACCCCTAATTACTAGAGCATAAAATTAGTACGGACACATCTGATTTCTTGGGTTTTCCTAGACAAATATATAACAACACCCAAGTGGAGCAGGCGGTGCTAATGAATTAAAGCTTTGAGAAGGTCTCTTCACAAATAAATGATTTATTAATACCTAAGGACACACTATTTAGGACATGTGTTTGGAGGCCTAAATATGTGAAGGGCAACGGTTGACAATTATTTGAGTCATCTTTTGTGGATAAATAACAGAATGTGGTTTACCAAAAACAATAATATTTTATCTGATTTAGAAAAAGTCAAACACAAATTTTAGATAGGGAAGTAACTGCAGTGCTCAATTTTAAACAACACTAGTATTTTAAACAACACTAGGTAACGTTCACATTCTATAATTACAAGGTCATCAAAAGTTGGCCTTCATTTCATGGCCACAAACAAAGGCGGCATTTAATTATTCTCCCGTTTGTGATTGTTTGTAAATTTCTTCAGAACCTAACTTTGATAGTGCGGTTTCCTCGTCATTCTTCCTCTCTAATTATTTTGACTGCTTCAGGAAGAAACTTTCCCAAATTGGACTCTGGCCAAATTCCTTCACATGTTTTTGCTTAACAAATGTCTTGTGCTCAATTAGCGGCAAATTGATTTCACCCTAAGTTTTCATGCCCACAATGACTTTTTTAGTACTAAAAAATTGCCTTTGAATGTGCAAGAGAAAAGGATGAACAAAGAAAATATAAAATAAAACCTACTCAATCTCTAATTTGATAATTAATTTCTAAAGGTTTTAAGCAATTAAGTCTTTCATTAATTATTTTTTCTCTCGCATGTATACGGGTCTTAACATATTTTTGAAGGTTATTGACGATGATTTTTTTGAATTAGGGGTAGAGAATAAAATCAAGTTGAGCAATTTAAGGGAACACAATATGCTATGGTTAGAAGGCTAGCTACTAAAATCTGTGTCAATTATATATATATATATATATACTATTTTTTATATGAATTTGGTGACATACATTTTATTTTTCCCAATCCAAAAAAGCTTCCCATAATCAGCACCTTGTGGTGAGGTTCAGACGAGGGTTGATCACACTGAACATATTTGGAATCAATTGAATCTCGAAAATCATGAAATAATTTTCCTTTTCCCTCCTGAATGTCTGTAAATTCTAATTGTCTTTCTGTATATAGCCAAGTTTAGTTTTCAATTTCTTCTCAATTTTGTAGATTTTTCTGATTATTTTACATTTTGTAATATTTGTTTTCACAGTTTTTCCTTTTTTTGTCGATCTACTCTATCTTCTCATTTTTGCAACAAGAGCTGTTCCTACTTCCATACACTTAACTTGTCAACTGCACCTACATTTTTTTTTCCTTTTAAATTATTTTTAGAGGGTTGGAAAAGAAAAATATATAGGAAAGGAAATAAATCAAAGCTCAAAATTGAAAAAATACAAATAAAGAAAACAACAAAAAATAAAAAATTGATACCCCTTTCTAAAAATTCAATGAGTTTATTATTACTAGACATTCTTTTAGGCAGACCTTTGACTTTCCCAATTTCCCTCCAAATCCCAGAGTCTCATTGGCATGCTTTAAATACATACACAGACACACACACAGAACAGCAATGAATTAAATTAAAAATAAAATTATTTCTGTGCTTCTCCCCTCCTCTCTTCTTCTCCAATCCCCATACCTTGTAGTAAAGCAAAGCTTCATACTCTCTCTCTCTCTCTCTGCAATAATTTTCTTTAGGCTCAAAGATGTCATCATGTCTTCGTCTTGATGCTCATTATTATTGTTCATGTGTAGCTCTAATCTTACTAGGCCTTGGATTATTAGGGCAAGCCAATGCCCAAATGTATAGAGTTGATAGCAATAATAAGAAGCTGGCTTATTACACCATCACTGTTGATCAATCTGGCCATGGCAATTTCACCTCCATTCAATCAGCCATTGATGCTGTTCCTATAAACAACAGGAACTGGGTTTCTATCAAGATCAAGGCAGGCACCTATAAGTAAGCTTAATCTTTGTGTTGTGATTATATAAATCATGAATCTATTTAATTTCTTATGGGAAAATGAATTATTAATACTTGTTTTTGTGTTTTTTTTCCCTTTTCTGTGTGAATATTGCAGGGAAAAGGTGATCATCCCCGTTGACAAGCCATACATAATTCTCAAAGGAGAAAATAGGCATAAAACACTGATTGTTTGGGATGATCACGACTCAGTTGCACAAAGCCCTACTTTTGCCTCTTATGCCGACAGTATCATTGTCAAATCCATCAGCTTTGTGGTAATTGCAATAATCATTATTAACTTTTGGTTCAAACATAGCATACGTGTTACACTAGTTGATCAGGACAGTGCCACCCCCCTTCCACCCAAGTTTGAATTCTTCTTTCCGTAGATTAGAGTAATTTAGACTATTGTTTGTGTTTAAATGAAAAAAACTTTTCGTTCAAATACTCTTCAATTTCTTCAATTTATTAATATTGTATACTTCTTTTAATTTATGAATGTTATGCAGAATTCATACAACAACCCTGTGAATAACAAAAATCCAAGAGTGCCAGCAGTGGCGGCAATGATTTACGGGGACAAATCTTCATTCTATCGATGTGGTTTCTTTGGTTTGCAAGACACTTTGTGGGATGGTCAAGGACGGCACTACTATCACCTTTGCACCATCCAGGGTGCCGTTGATTTTATCTTCGGCAGTGCCCAGTCCATTTTTCAGGTTCATTCTTTTTTCCATTTCATCTTCAATTTCTTTACATATTACTTAATCCATCAATCAACCTCTAGGTCATGACTAGTTGGTCTAGCGGCACTGTGTCTCTCTATTTTATTAGAGGATTCGTCATGAGTTCAAATCTTATGAATGACATTTGTTGATTAAAAAACTTGAAGTTATCTAAATAACAATATGAAAATTACTAGTATCAATGACCACGGTCACGGAAAACACCCCATGGAAACCACCTATAAAGACAGATGATCCGTGAGCAGTGTAGGTTTTTTTTGGTAGTGGTGGAAAGAAATTGGGTTGTGTAGCATCTTCTTTTGAAAATTTATATTGACAGTGATTGGTTGTTATCGGGTACCAATTTATAATACAGTTTACATTGTTGATATTTTGTTGATATACATTACAAATTCTCAAACAAATATCAAGGCCACAGTATTAGGTACTGTAAATTGGTATCCGGTACCAAACACATTTTTACCCTTATTATGTTTTTGCAAAACAAAATGCAAGCAAATTTGGTACGAATATATACCATAAGTAAATTGGTATCCGGTACCAAACACATTTTTACCCTTATTATGTTTTTGCAAAACAAAATGCAAGCAAATTTGGTACGAATACCATAAAAAGGAATGATGATGTTTTAATTTTTTTGCCATATATATACTTGCAGAAATGTTCGATTCAAGTTCTTGGGGGAGCTCTGGATCCTGGGTCGGCTGGTTACATCACAGCACAGGGAAGAGACAATCCAAATGAAGCAAGTGGGTTTGTGTTCAAGGATTGCAAGGTGTCTGGAACAGGTTCCACCTACTTGGGCAGGGCATGGAGAGGTTACTCTAGAGTCATTTTCTACAACTCTAATTTTTCGAAAATTGTTGTGCCTCAAGGCTGGGATGCTTGGCATTTCCAAGGCAATGAGTAAGATCTCTCACTCTTAATATAATTAACACACTAATCTTAATTAAACTTAATAGTGCACCAACCCTTTTTTCCTTTTCAAAAATACCATCCTTAGGTGTTACCAATTTCCCATATCCACAACAATTTCGTTTTCCTTTTCATTTTGGCTAGTTTTCTAACTTTTAGTCACCAAATAATATGACAACTAAAATATAATACTAGACCACCATTTCAAGAGTTACCTAACTTTTTCTTGAATTTTAGTCCGTCAATAATGTGATAGGTGTTACCAATTTCCCATATCCACAATGATTTCCTTTTCCTTGTCATTTTGGCTATTTTTCCAACTTTTAGTCGCCAAATACTATGACAACTAAGAATATAATCCTTTCCCTTTTCTAATTCACAATCATTTCAAGAGTTACCAAACTTTTTCTCAAATTTTAGTTCGTTAATGATGTGACAGAGATTAAATGGGTGTTCGATTTCTTAGAAATAAATAAGGTGTAAAGTGAGTACAAAAATGAAGAAATCAAACGCTTTGTTGGGCGTGTATGGCATTTAACAAAGTTTGTAGAGAGAAATTGACATAACATTTATGTTTCCGTTTTATGGAATTCATAAGTAACACTTGATTTGGACCCTAAATGAAAATAAATGTTGTGATATAACGCAGGCACCAATTAACGTATGCAGAGCATGGTTGCTATGGGCCAGGAGCTGACACTTTAAAGCGTGTGGAATGGGAAAAGAAGCTTAATGCTGATACGGTGCGGGAGTTGACTAGCTTGAATTTTATTGATACTGATGGATGGCTCAATGACCAGCCTTTCTAAACATTTTTTTAATTTTATTTAACTTCCCATTCATTTCAAGCAGTTGTTCTGCAAATCTTTTATTACTTTTTCACTTCCCCATTACATTACTTTTGCAAGATATTAACTCATGATTTTGTAACGTCCAAAGAATTTTCACTTTACCCAATTTGGAAGTGATTTGTTTAATATGATTACGGAAATATAAGTTTCACTCGCCTTTTTCATATTGAACTTGAACAAATATGTTTGATAAGTACTTAACATGGGTGCCACGTCTATTTCTCAGCCATTGATGCAAGTGAAATGCACAGTGCATTAGATTGAATGTATGTGAAATTCATTTGTTTTCTTTATATCATTTTCATTCAAATCTTGGCATACATTATTGCAATAGTCTAAACACACAATTTCACCTCTTAATGTCAGTAAATTCATAAATTTGGAATCTTTACGTCAAATTGGCACGTAGTTTAACACATTTAATCATGTCAAGTGATTTCACACTAACCCAATCTGTTTAGTAACTTTGCCGCATTTGGATCTAGCCACATATACTGTAAACTAGAAATTTAAGAGCTTAAGTGGTTAAGAGTAACTATCCTTGCACCCGAGGTCCTATGTTCAAATCCTCATTTCCCCAATATCTCGTCTCAAAACAAAACAAAAAAAGGAAGAAGGAAATTTAAGATGACTTGCTCATGTTACAAGCCAAACCTATCACTCATATATTTTCAAAACAAATAGTCTTATATACTAATAAAAATTCCGTTAGAAAAGTTAAAAAGAAAATATTTCTGTAATTCTCGAAGGATTCATGCAATAATAGCCATACAATATTACGAAATTAAAACGTAAATAAATAGTCGAGAGAAGATACCACTGTGGTGGCCTCCCCCATTCCCCTGCTTGACACCCAGGTTCGAAACCCCAAGGGGTTTCTTTCCTCCCAATATAACCAAAAAAAAAAACGTAAATAAATAGTTGGTCTTTTCCTTCATATAATGCTGATGTTTTGACAGCAGTCTGTCAACCAATAATAGAACAAATGTGGTAACTTTGGAGTAATAAGTTATTTCATAATCTGAAAGCTGACAATTTTGGATTGATTCTACTAACAAGTTATTTTTCATAAGCTGTTTAAAACTTCAAATGCATGGTGAGACATAACCATATGAGCTCTTCCTCTCAGAACTGAAACAATTTATAAAATGAATAGACAGGAAAAGAAAAGTAAAAACAAGACAAAACTGGGAAGTGAATGGTTCAGCTTTCATGGCAACCTCTTTTTCGCTGGGTCCTAATCTTTGAATTTCTTCTGATCTTGAGCATTCATAGCAAAGCCACGTTGCATTTCATCCATCTTCAAGAGTTAGCAATATCATCGTTTTACCCAATGTTCCCAAACATATATGTATCTCTATTATGAGCATTACAGACAGCCATTCAACTTTATTGTCTGATACAGCATCAAATCTGAGTTCATGCTTGTAAGAAAGGAACTGCTGGTTCACTAGCCATACTGCTCAGAAGCCCACAAATCACTTCAACAACAATACCAACTCCAGATATTCGGAGCCATATGCTTTCTTGGAAATAAAATCGCTGCCAGTACCATCTATACAGTATTATGTGTTGGAACACTTAGATAAAATTTCGTATTCTTGAAATCGTCCAAAAGTGGATTGTATCCGTCCTTGGTTCTTGTCTTCGAGGGCAAGCCAAACTCGTCCATGAATGACGACGTATCAAGCTACATCATTATATAAATTTGATTAAGAAAAATAGTGTGATTGTTGAGGTTTATGTGGGCAGAGAACTGCTCTCCTGGGCAACAGTTTTTAAGGCCCCCAGAGGAACTATAAATCCAGCAGTAGGATTCATAGCACAATCCCTCAGAAGTAGTTATCCTTTTCCTGTACTTTCTCTTTATCTTTATTCTTTTTCATACATGATTAGGGAAGTTTGGACCTAAGGTCTACCCACTGTCCACCTCATCCACCTAAAACCCCTGCCAAGATTTAGGCAAACACATGCACTTTCTCCACATTGAACATGGATATGTGAAGGGCAACTTGATTGCCCTGATATCTAAATCATATATTTTTAAAGCAAGCTACCTAGGACCAGATGAATTTGTGTCCGCGTGAATTGTAATTTATCTTATAGCTTCCAGAAACAAAAACGCTACATGACAATAGAATTGAACTCACTGTAATTGTTCGCCTCTTCTTCCCTTCCTTGGACAACATATCTTTCTGCAGTTTCAGCCATCCAGAACAGTAATGGTCAATACGTTCCAAAAGCCAAAATTCAGTGGGGAAAAATATGTCAGCATCCCCCTGAAAACAAACCAAAATCATAAACTTTAGTTTCATAAAAAGCTGGTCACCTTTAAAAGTTAGCAGTACTAGTAGTAATGATTATAACTATTATAACAACAACAACAAACCAAAATCATAAACTTTAGTTTCATAAAAAGCTGGTCACCTTCAAAACTTAGCAGTACTAGTAGTAATGATAGTAATAATAATTATAACTATTATGACAACAACAACAAACCAAAATCATAAACTTTAGTTTCATAAAAGGCTGCTCACCTTTAAAACTTAGCAGTACTAGTAGTAATGATAGTAATAATAATTATAACTACAACGAAGAACAACAATAATAATAATAATAACTTTGAAAGACAGTACACAGTGACCTTGAAAACAGAAGAAAGTTGACCATACAGAGAGTTTATCACTAAGCAGTGACTACATAAACATTGCACTTAAGTAGGTTATTCAGAACTATAGCAATCAGCAGAATTTTTTACAATACAACTTGATGGTGGTTATAACAAACAATGGAATTTTAAAAAACCCAAGCTCTCTCACAGGCTAATGATCATTCTACAGTAATATCCCCCATCAAAACTGTCGTTTCTTTCTTCTCCCCTCAGGAAGAGGGTTTACATTGTCAGGTTTGCACGGTTGAGCAATCTGGATATCAGGTAGCAATAGAAATGATTGCACAATGCTTCAAACCACATGCTACAGAAATGATGACCTAATGCCTTGACCAATTTTTGTTCAGGATCCAGCCTAATGCCATAAAAATTGCTATGGCAGACATAAAAAAGAGAAGTTAATTCTGTGAAGGAAGTAAGTTTAGAAACCAAAAAGCTCTTAGGATTTTGATTCTAGCAGTCATAGCATTAAGGGCCCAGGGGGGTTATTAGGAATATCACTACAAAGATTCAGCCTTACTTTCAAAATACTAAACAATCAGAGGATTTTCAAGGTCCACCACTAAATGTCATACATCCTTAAGTCTACAGGTTTTAAGCAAAATGGAACGAGAATTACGTAATCAAGTTCAACTACTCATTGACCCAACCTCTAACCATATGTGCTGTGAAAAACAAGGGGAAACAAACTAGGGGACAAAAAAACCAAGCCTTGGATCTAATAGCAAAGCAAGTCAAGCTTTCAATTCTTAATATATATACATACATAGAGCTTCCATTGAGGGATCCCTCAAATATTTGAGGGACATCCTTGTAGGGCCCACTCCGCATTGTATTTCACTAATCCAAACTGTCTATTTTTTAGATAATCATTCAAAGATCGTCTCTACAAAAAATCACTTGAATCCGATATCATTTGACCACTCAATTGAGTTATTGAAATTTTAGTACTTTTTTGAAGCACCGTGTTCATTGATTTTGTAGGACACAATTGGATGTCGAAACAGTTTCCAATTTGTCTAACTTTTTGCAAGGATGATCTATGAATGTAGACTTGAAAAATAGATGGTTTGGATCGTTGAAAAAAAATTCATAGGGGACCCCAAAGGGTGTCCCTGGGATCCCTCAAAAAATTCATATATATATATATATATATATATATATATATATGAATTTTTTGAGGGATCCCAGGGACACCCTTTGGGGTCCCCTATGAATTTTTTTTCAACGATCCAAACCATCTATTTTTCAAGTCTACATTCATAGATCATCCTTGCAAAAAGTTAGACAAATTGGAAACTGTTTCGACATCCAATTGTGTCCTACAAAATCAATGAACACGGTGCTTCAAAAAAGTACTAAAATTTCAATAACTCAATTGAGTGGTCAAATGATATCGGATTCAAGTGATTTTTTGTAGAGACGATCTTTGAATGATTATCTAAAAAATAGACAGTTTGGATTAGTGAAATACAATGCGGAGTGGGCCCTACAAGGATGTCCCTCAAATATTTGAGGGATCCCTCAATGGAAGCTCTATGTATGTATATATATTAAGAATTGAAAGCTTGACTTGCTTTGCTATTAGATCCAAGGCTTGGTTTTTTTGTCCCCTAGTTTGTTTCCCCTTGTTTTTCACAGCACATATGGTTAGAGGTTGGGTCAATGAGTAGTTGAACTTGATTACGTAATTCTCGTTCCATTTTGCTTAAAACCTGTAGACTTAAGGATGTAAAGGATCAAACCAGGATTACCAAATTGTTACTAAATGCATTTGAAATGCTGTCGTTTACCAGATTTAAACTAGCATATACAATAAGAGAAACACGGAAATAGGAATTTTCAACCAGAGCAGCGCCATGGCCACCCCCAAAATACTAAGCCCTCCCACCGTATGTGTGTGTGTGTGCGCTAATTACAAGTTTATCCTCCTACAATTTCCTCAAATGACATGGTTAACATTATAGTTAAAAAATAAAAAAAATAAAAAAAGAGGAGAACATGAAAACTAGGGCTGCTACAGTTTGGGAGGGTTGGGAAAAGCAGGTGGGTGGGTGGGCATTTCACACAATCCTGGAATTGAAAGAAAACGGCCTCTGCATGAATCCTAACATCTTTCTAGATAATTTAGCTCATCAGGTTCCTAGGTGACTACATGCTGTGTTTTATGCTCCTATTATGATCTGTTTATTTATATTTCTTTTACTAGGAATTTTGTGTCAATCATACCATTACAAATGCAGTAGTTGGAATTTTGAAATGATCATGAATGTTTTACTGTAGCCTAAAAGAATTACAGTAGAATTGATAGTTTTAAGGATGACAGGGAATTTCAAGAGTGACCTTCCCTGTTCCTTTGTAGAGCTGGGGAGTGTGGACCTAAAATTAGGTGAGTGTTGCACCAAAGAGGCACACAAATATAAATACTCAAAGTATTTATTTCCAATCACAAAGGGAAAACTGGATGCACCCATATAATATAGAATGTTCTGTGAAAGTGTCAAACAACATAATAATAATGATAATACTCAGTCTTTATACCTTGGTTGAAACCAATGGAGCTCTTTCACCAAGTATTCTTACATCAGGTAGGTAACTAAAGTCTGAAGCGATTAAAGACATCTTTGGTAGCACCTCATGCAAAACTTCAAGCAGTTTCTGGATGTTCAAAGACAACATTATTGCTCGAATTTGTTAGAAAATAAAATAAATAAAATGAATTACCAAACAATTCCTCACCAAGCAACCAGTTGGCAGCCAACATCTTTGAGGCTTTGGAAAGACTTTAGACCAAACGCTTTTTGCTTTTAGTATTGCACTGCTTTGAAAATCATGTTTTTTGTCCAAATCGATGATCTCAACACATCGTTTAATTAGTGAGTCTTGCAATGGCTTATACAATTCAGACAGTGTTTCCCTATTAGCAAAAACCTTAATCAGTAAAACTGAAATCATGTTCCAACAGTGAACAGTTCAATGAACGAAATGATGGAGTAGAAATGTATTTCAGGTGCTATATATGCTGATTTCAAAATAAACTTGAGCAAAAGTATTTTATGCCACCTCAAATCCGATATTTGCATGTTATCACATACCACATCGGGAGCATCCTGTTTAACTCATTAGTCATAGTTGTAAAGATATTGACTTACTTGAGTTGGAAACACTTTCTTTTTTAAAACAAGCAAATAAATTATCACAAGCGACTTCAACCTCCAGTTATACAAGAATAAGTAAACATAATAACCAATATGAAAAATCAGCAAATGCTGTCATACCCCACAATTTTCCAAAGATAACAGATGAGACACAATGATGGTATTGGAGAATGAAAGATGTCAGTCCCCAAGGTAAAATAAAACTGTAACAGAATATAAATCTTGACCCAATGACCCTCCATATGTTTTCTGTCTACAGTAACTCTACCATCCACAGCCGGGAAAAAGAAAACTTCAAATTTTCAGGGGTTTAGCCCAACAATAATACAGATATTGATGTATGCTCCATTGACAATAACTAGAAAAATAGTTTCAGGCTGAACAATCACTTTAACAAAGAGTGATCTTGAAAAAACAAATTTGTACTCAATTGGTGCGTTAACTTTTAGATAGAAATACAGCCAGACTTTATGGACACTGCCGCAAGATGTTGCTTACCTATCCTGTAGCTTCTCTACCCATACTTCCATCCATGGGGAAACTTGATTTTCTGAGTAGATAAGATCATGCGGAAGATTATCAAGTACCTGTAAATATGAAGATACAAATTTGACAGTGTTGGACCACAAATTGATTGGCTGAAACTCATTTAGAAAAACTAGAGAAACTTCCACGTAAGAATCTTTATCGTCCACTATTCTAATAGTACAATAAGTGAGCACAGGCACAATAGAGTCAATATAGGACAAAACATACCTCAAGCATTATTACCCAACATGGTTGTTGCTCCACATCTCCTATCAAATAATAAAATATATATGAAATTAGACACACAAAACAGCTGCACTCTGAAAGTTCCGTACAAGACAAACTAAATGAAATATCTGAAAAGTCACAGACACCATACCCCATCCACTCCGGTCAGTAGCATCACGACATTCTACTCGAAACTTTGATAAGTGACTATGGACTTCTCCAACAGTTTCTCTTTGTATCTCAGCCAGCGAGGGACTGACTTCAACTGAGCTACAGTTTTACATGATTATGGTCAGCAAATATACAGACACGCATCAATTAGGATTGAAAAACTAACTCAACCAGTACCACTATTATATTGGCAAAAATACTCAACACCAGAATATAAAAAATTTATGTTTCCAATTATTTCAGGTATTGATAATAAAATTTTGTAATGTTGAATACAAGTATTTAGTTAAAGCATCTGCACTATATTTAGGCATTTAATTGGCATGGCAAATGTAAACAAATGAGATGGTGGCAAAAGGAGTAGAAAAAAGAGAATTGACGGGAAGAGAAATGTTATGTTGTTTCATGGGTTTGTTGCGAAATAGACAATTATATTGCTCTTAATGTCAATGGTGAAGTTATCTTTCTAACTCTTTGCTTAGATTCCATCAAAATGCTCAAGGGCATTAAGGGTCAGAAAAATAATGCTTCAATCACTTTTGACCATTTCTCCTCACTCCAGTAACAGATCAAAATTGCAGGCATGATATAATGTCATATGGATGGCCCAAATAAGGCACATCAAGTAAAACAAAGCTGTTGACAAATAGTTTGATGAGGTTCTATGAGGGTCGCAGACATTAGGAATATGGAATACTTATTCATGTTACATGGAGGTATAGTCAAGGACATACATGTAAGTCATATTGTTGTAAACTCTTGGCGGTGCATTCAGCATGATGTAATCCATAATTCCCTTTGCACAAGTTCCTGATCCACCACCAATTTCATATATCTGAGTGCACATTATAAAATGACAGATTAAATTGTAGCCTACTTGTATTAAACAAGTGGATGAGGAACATTTAAGGGCATGATTAATGTATTACCAAAATAAGAGTAACATAAATGAAAAAAGATCAAAGATCTGGCGCCTAGAAACATAAACAAAGAATTTTAAATTGTGTAAGTTGCAAGCAAACTACCATGTCCTGCCTACAATGCTAGATTGAAAAACAGAAGCATTCACGGGACTTCATCTTGTAATCTAGAAACCAAAGTATTTAGGGAGATTACACATAGTGACAGAATCCTGTCTTTGATTGAAATTACTCACTCCAGCCTGATTATATATAAACCATTAATTTGCATCACTTTACAAGAAAATCAATAAACTCGAGGAAAAAATCTCGCAACTTATCACATCCAGCCAAACAGAAAATCATCACTAGTCCTCTATGACTGTAGTAAAAGATTGACTAGGCAGCATTGAGGATACAACCTCACTTAGCTTCTTTTTTCATCTGAGGCATCATCAATCATTTGTAGTACTCGGTCACTAATGGTTTTCAAGTTGAATGGCCCAGTTTAAAGACTATAGACTCTTGGGAAAACAAAGCAATTATAGATTTTACAAGGACAAATCAGAAACAGAACTACATTCTTTCAGTTTCAAGAACAAAAGGGAAAGGAAGTACACTTAATCAAGATACTACAGACATTACTTAAAGCTCTAGAACATTATGCTTTTATTCATTGTTAGTCCAAACTTTTCTTTGGTGAAAGAAAAAACTGGACTCTCAATAAAAGCATCCAAAAAATTTACTATAATTTTTAGATTTTATTTTTTGCCATATAAAACAAATGTGTGCATGCAACAATTAATAATCAGAATATGGTATTATCATATAAAAAATGAGATATGGAAATTTGATAAAATTATCAAATGTGCCCTAGACATTTACTAGAAGCAATATGCATTCAATCCGACAACATAAGCAAAATCTCAGTGATATGTCCACTGCCTGATCATTAAAAAGAGGAAGCTTACCTTTAGGGGAACTGAAAAGTTAGCAGTACGCATTATGGCTTCAGCAATCCCGTGCGCATACCAAGGCTATAAAGAAAGTGAAACTTTTGAAATCGCAAAGACATGCATTTGATGAAATAAGAAAAATGCCAATCTAAGTGGAGTTTGGGTTGGAAGATACAAAGAACCATTAAATATTACTTTTTTTTGTGGTTACCACTGTAATGTACATCAAAATGAAATAAATGCTGCTCATGCATTATGTAAAAACATGGAATACTATGACACAACATGTATACGCTGCTTCTTAAGTTGTCAAATGATACAAAGGTCACACCTTGTATATGAAGATATTAACTGTATATCAGGTTGCCTTCTGTTTAAAACTGGTAATCTTGTTTCTATTAGAATCATGTGTGGATTCAAAAATATACTTATATGTAAAGCATTATCCTAAAAGAAAAATGCAATACATCATTTCACCTCAAAATCATGTATCATTATTGTGTCCTGCCTATGTGCCAGCCACCTGGTGTTTGTTTGGTTTCCCTTCCTTTTTTTCCTTTTTCCTTTATATCTTTTGTATGCATGTTCATGTTTTAATTTTGTGCAGAAGGTGAAGCCTTTGAACTATGAATTCCCTATGGAAATTAGAATTTAAGTTTCTTAATGCAGAAAGCAGACAGACGAGAGAGAGAGAGAGAGAGAGAGAGAGATTACCTTAAAAATTTCCACAGGAGTAAACCATGATACCTCACTTTCTTTGTAAATTTTATCCAAGTATTTCATATAACCTTTCCTACCTATAATATGCGAAAATTTCAGTATATATGCCCTTCCACAAATCTCCAGCTACTACAACAGATGGTTACTTTAAATTGAATCGGCTCATAAGAAATTGGTTCTAATTCTCCAAAGAAATGCTTTATATTATTTGCAAACACATGTTATTTATGATAACATCATTCAAAAGTGCCAATAATGCAATTTTGTTCATTTCAGAAACTGGGACAAATAAAAGACTATTGATGGGAAAACTAATTAATGTACGTATCATTTCAGCTACAATTTTAGACAAACTATTTACAAAGTTTAGTCAAACAGGTTAAACAGGAAAGTAATGTAATTTTTACTAATCTTCACTTTCTATGTATTTTATTGCAAGTCATACTTGGGCAAAGGATATTACTTGCCAGCCTTTTCAGCCAGTCTAGATTAGCAGATATGTCAAATACTAAAGAACACATTGATTAACTATTTAGAAACCAAGAAAACTAAACAAAGCTCTAAACCTAAGTGCTTGAGGATTGCCACACAAACCTTTTTTGAGGCTTGTGACTCGATCAAGGACTCAATACTAGGCAAAACACAGGCAACCATGATTTTTGCACCACCCACATCAAATTAGTATTTCTACCTTTTGTTTTCATAGCACCTTCTCATGGCACCTTCAAAATCCAAATAAAAATCACCTAACAAGCTCATAAATATAACTATGTGGAATGTGAATTTCCTCATGCTGTCCTTTGTGCTATTACAAGCTTGAAATTTTAGCTTTCGTTGTACTTCCACTCGTCCATCTCTACATACTCAATTCAAATACACTTTTTTTTTCAAACATGTCACAACTTACAATACACTGATGTTTTAAGGGTTTAGGGTTGATGTTGTAACGTGTAGCATAAACATCATAATAGCCCTACGAAATTTGAGTAACTAGCTGGTTAGAAATCCCAAAACCATGTTTCCTGTTTAACCCACTCCACTCTATTTCAAGAAAGCAGAACCCTTTAGGACTTGAGAAAGAGAGCTTATAGTCACATTTTTTCAGTAATATCGCTGTATGTTCCTTCCCATTATCATTCTTCCAACAAAGTTCATGCATAATCACATAAATGAATCAAACCACTTAAAACTTATACTAAATTCATTAAAAAATAATAGTTAACAGCTTGAAATATCTGAATTATGACATGCGACTAATAAAAAATTTAAGCTAGATACCTTCAAGCTGATTGAACTTAATTGCTCTGGGAAGCACTCCAACCGATTTCGATCTTTGAGAGAAATACCCATGTTTCGGATCGTATAATGCAGAATGAATGAAATCACGAACCTGCCCAATTGAAGTTATTAGGTTTTTTATTTATCCCAGCAGAGCAGACCCATTCTCTTGAATTGCATAAAGTAATGAGTAGAAATTGAAAATGACACAGAATGTGTGTTAATTCCTTACAAGAATCGGCTTGTCACCGACAATGTGTGTGGAGAAAAGGGATCCAAATGGAGCTGCCCAGAGTTCACATGGATTCACTGTACAGACATTCATTTTATTGTAACTTAGAGAGAAAGAAGGTACAGTCGCATAGTGGAGAGAGAGAAAGAGAGTACCTTTGGGCTTGTGGAAGAGCAAAGGCAGATTTTTGGGACGAAGGGCACGACACAGCATCATAACCAGGTGATGGTTTTTGTGGGAAATCCGCTTAAACCCTTAACCCGTCTACAGCCAAAATGGTGGATCAATGTCACGTGATGTTTTTAGTGGAAAGCTGCTTAAACCCGAACCGGATAGTATAGCCGCGTGGCTATACTATTTTTTTATCATAAAAAAAGTCGTATAGCCGGGCGGCTATACTATTTATTAAAAAACCAAAAGGGTTATTCGCAGCAATGGTCCCTCAACTATACCCGTAGTTACACTTTGGTCCATCAATTCAATTATTAGTTGCGGGGGTCACTCAACTCTGTGTTCCGTTGCACCAGTAGTCCTTCCGTCAAGTCTGTTAGTTTTTTCCGTTTAAAATGATGACGTGGCAAGCATCTGTGAGAATCTCATAGATTCGTGAGGGGCAAATCTGACTTTTCAGTTAGCCTTCTTCACCTTAGCAGCCTCCAACCCTGCCATCGTAACCTCCAATCTCCCCCACCTTAGCCGCCTCCAAGCCTTCAGACCCAGCTCAGTCGTTCAAGGGCTAGTCTGCAGTTTTCGTGTTGTGCTCATTCTGCAGTTTTCAATTTGGGGGTTTGTTTCACTCCCGACACCTGACAAATTCTCCACCGTCAGATTCCATCTCAACAAGCACAGATCCAAACCCATTGGTGTAGAACAATGGCGAAACCCACAAAGCTCAACTCCATCGTCGACCTCCAGATGCAATCTTAACAGCCAAGCCACCAGGTTCTGCAGAAAAGACCCAAGAAGAGCTCTTGCTCTTCCGCTTCTTATAGTCCCAGCAGAAGAACAAATCACAAAAGAAAGGCCCAAAATAAAAAAGAAATGAAGGGATTGAAATGGGAATTTAGGTGGAAATCAAAAGACCCAAAACCAGACATAGAGAATCATCAATTACGAGGCATGAAACAATCATCAATTAACCAAGTTCATTCCAAGAAAGGGTAAACAAACCTTTTTGATTGAGTGCTTAAGATTGATTTGCAAGAAACAAAAGAGAAAAGAAACTTTGAGAGCTGAAAGAGAGAGAGCGAAGAGGGAGCTGAGAGAGAGAGCGAAGAGAGAGTTGAGAGAGAAAAGAAAAAAGTGATAAAAAGTGTTCAGTAGGCAATAAGACAGTATTTATAGATAGTATTTGATAAATGATTATAAGGTGGGTAGTTTTTGGTTATTTATTATTTGATTCTTGTGGATGAATTTCTGAATTTACCCTCACTTTTGACAGAAAATTTAACAGACTTGACGGAAGGACTGCTGGTGCAACGAAACACAGAGTTGAGTGACCCCGGCAACTAATAATTGAATTGATGGACCAAAGTGTAACTACGGGTATAGTTGAGGGACCATTGCTGCGAATAACCCAAACCAAAAAAAGCCCTCCTGGAGCTTGCGCCCATTTTGCCACGTGTAAAAATAGTATAGCCGCACGGCTATACTTATAAAAAAATCCGGGTATAGCCCAGCGGCTATACTATTTATATATTAAAAAGGGAGTTCCGCCTGGCGCCTGCGCCTGTTTAGCCACGTGTCAAAAAACGTATAGCCGCGCGGCTATACTATTTCTTTTATAATAAAAAACGTACTACAGCCGACGGCTATACTCAATAAGTATATTATATTTAATAGGGGTGTAGCCGCACGGCTATACCATTTTTATAAAAATAAAAACTGTAGTACAGCCACGCGGCTATACTGTTTAATAATAAAAATAGTATAGCGCTGTGCCACGAGTCAAAATAGTATAGCCGCGCGGCTATAAATATTTTAAATAATAAGCTGCTATACTATTTTATAGCCACCCGTTTCTTTACAGTAAATGCAATTCTCTCAAGGATTGCATGATACAACTTGAATGGGTACACTTTTAAAATGTTGTTGAAGTGTTTTTTGGTTGCATTGAATATGTATTTGTTTTATGTTAAAGTTTATTGAAAATTAGTCAATGAAGCTATGAACTAGTGTGATTTATATGATTTAATGTATACTTTTATTTATAAAAAGACTATAGAAACGGTAAGTACAAAAAATTTGATCATTAGATTTTAGCTAACAACTTTAACTAGCCATTGAAAAATTCGTGGTTCTGCCCTTGGCTTTCAATCAAAGACATCCGTCTCTCTATGCTATTTTAGTCTGCCAAGCCTTCTTGGTATCAATTGCCAACTGACTCCTTCAGTTGAAGGCCATTTTTGTTACTCTTTTGCACTGCTTTGGTCATTCTGATCCATTAGTAGCTTAGTTCTGATCCTATACTTGATTGCCACTCAATTCCTTTGCTCTAAATTGAATCAGAATTGATACAAGGTGGTGACAATCCTTAGTTCTGATCGATCTATTCATCTGCTATTTCATTGTTTACTGTTTTATGTACTTTTGTTGCCCTTTACCTTTTGTATTAGATAAATATGAAGTCTTTAGTTGTCCTGAGGCATAGAAAAGAATCTCAATTGAATTGTTTACCATTCAGTTCACAATCGTTTGATTAAAGTTAGTTTACTTGGTTTGCAAGTCTTTTATTTATTTATCTTTATTTATATTTTCCGTCTATTAGAAGTAGGTTAGCTAATAGTGGCACGCTTGCAACTCACATTCTCCACAAAGCCTACTCCAAATCTTTGTTCATTTTTCAAAGTAAACAATATTGAAGAAGGAAATGAAGGTAGAGTTGAATAATTTTTCATTTTGGAGGGATTAGGAGGGATTAGTTATAATGAGTTGCTATCCTACTATTTTGTCGGGATTAGATGAGATTAGTTTTCTTCATGAGTAATCCATACCTTCATCTTGGTCAAAAAAATGTCATTTCTAGCTTAAACATGCTTTGAATATAAAGAGTTATTTAATCCAATCCAATACTAGGCACCAAACGAGGTCACGTTTGCAGGATATTTGAGTTTGGCAAAATAAATTTTATGTAATTGTATCCGAATTTTGACTTGAAAAATTCTAATGGTGGTGGGAGTGGAAATGGTCCAGAGAGGCTGAAGTTAGAGTGGTCCTAATGAACTCTAATTGGTTGACTAAGACTTAACCATAACTCGATCGAGTCTCAAGCCAAGGCTTTTCCACAAGCATCTAAGTTTTGCTTTCCATAAGGAAAAAGAAGAGAGAGAAGAAAGCAACTACCATTCATTCATTGATGTCGTATTCTTGACAACAACATCTGCCCAAGCATCTCATCTGGTGGACTCCTTAATTACGCCACACATATACAATCCCTGTAATTTAAGCCATGCTTAATTATAGTATACCATTGGGTCAACCAAACAACTACATATAATATTGACATGAAGATACAAACATGATTCACTTATGTGATAAATTAAATTATGCTTCTTATATACTAGCCTCTCCGCACGCGCTTTCGCGGTTGCGAGAGGCTTTTTTTAAAAAAATTTAAATTTATTTTAGAATTAAAAAAGATAATGGGTAGTTGTGTTCCATAAAAATATTATCCATTATCTGATTTTTCTTTTAATTTTAATTTTTTTAATATGAAAAGTGTGAATTTACCATATTATCCTCATTTAATTAATAATTTCAATTCTTAATATTTGCATTAACCAAGGGCATTTTCTAGTATTTTGAATGTTTCACCATTCTTTGCCTTTTGCTTTATATATATAGATATTGAACTAAGGTATTTTTCAAAGTTAGAATTTGACATCCACTGCACGGAAGCTAGGACTGGAACCCAGGACATTTCCTATTGAGAGGGAGCGATAACATACTAAATTCACACACGCTACATGGATGCTAGGACTCGAACGCAAGACCTTGCCTGAGGGAGCAATTGCTCCAAACCACTACACCAGTAATTTAAATTTTGAAAAAAGATATAAAAAATGTATACATATTTCCACAATAGATTTAAAAAGCTTATATTTGTAAGTCATATAGCATTGTTATGTCAATGTCATTGCAATGATACACCAATTGCAGCTGTGAATGCAGGGTGGAAAAGAGATGGTGCTGTGAATAACATTTGCAACCCCACCTCCTCTCAATCACCATGATTAGAAATTTGCAATACATTTTTGTACGAAAGCTCATATATTGTTATGGTTATTTGTTAGCTTGCTGTTGTCCAACATATATATATATATTTGTATGTCTCTCTCCCAAATTCCCAATCAGTGGTTAGTAGCAGCCACTAGCTAGCTACAAGCCGACTGCAAGTACATGGAGATGGGGGGGTCCAGAGACTCGCCGCCCTTGTTTCGCTGGCCTCCTACTTAAGCCTGGCTTTGTCTCCGAGTAGATTTGTTCGAAAATTAATTTCTTCTTTCCAACCACACAAAAAAAAAAGTTAAAAAGTTAAAACAATAAATAATTTTTGAGAAACTAATATAGTAAATTCAGGACACACTCTTCCTCATGTGTGTATTTGGTTTAATCATTTCCCTTATCGTGTTTTATATAAGCTAAAATTTGATTTGAATTTTTTTAATTTAAAGATCTGTCGAGGATCTTGTTTGTAATTTTCTTTGTTTTATATAGGCTAGATTTTTAGAAACACTAATTTGTAAATGAGCCTATGAAGAATTGCGCACTTCATGGGCGTGAAATGTCTTATTCCAATATCCCACTCGTTAGGCATTATTAGTCCCCCCACCCCCCAATGATACTAACTTGTCAACATTGGGATGACAAGCAATTGTTTCTAAAGTGAACAATATACTTTTTATGTGTTAATTTTTGTCTCTTTATTTTTTCTGGACATTGTGTGTTCAATTTGGTAAGGATTAAGACTCAACGACTCAAAACCTTGAAAGATTCAAAGCTTTTGTATTTGAGTTGAACAATAAAGTAGTTAAAGGTCAGCTCGGTGTATTTGCAAATTCGATTTCTTGATTTAGAGTGCAAACAAAATAATCAATTGTAAATATTTAGGAGCATAAAAGGAAAACAATAGCTTGTTTGGTTTGAGTTTTTGTTTATTTATTTATTTATACAAAGTAGTTTCGAAAAGAGATACTACTTTATATAAAATAGAAATATCGTTAACTTTTTTATAAAAAATTATTAAAATGAAAGGGATGCAACACGAGAAATATGTTAACTTA